TTCCTAGGATCTAGCTTAACCTCTGGCATATAGTAATCATTAAATAAATGTTGATAAAGTAAGTATTAAATGAAACTCTATTTTATAGGCGAGGCTCTGTGATGCTAAGGGTCTTGTTTTACTTTACCAAGAAAGTAAATGTCAAGATTGATGCCGGTCAATTTTCTTTACCTAAACTGTAAAAAAAAAAAATCAAACAGTAGTTTTAGTGAAAATCATCAAACATTGTAGTGGAAATTCATATGTATAAAGGTATAGGCCTACTAGAATATTCTAATTTTTTTCTTTTTTGTCATATTGTCTTGTGATAATGCATGTTTCATGCTTATTAGAAATGCAAGTCACAATTTTCTCTCTAATTAATAAAAATAGCAAACAGTTATCGACATGCAATTTCTGATAATTTTTAAAAGAGGGGTTTCTATAAAGTTTACTTGGTTATGAAACAATTATAACTCATAAATAGTGCTTTAAGTGTAAAATCATACTTAGAGTCATGATAAAAATGAAGATTACATAAATAGTTGGGCAACAAGGAAGGAGTCAAAATATTGTATTTAGTAGGAAAATTAAGGAAGAAAAGTAGGCTGCAGAGATTTTCTGCTTCTCATGAGGTAGCTACTCATCTAGCAAACCATTTGAGGAAATGAAATGACAGGGTGTAAACAAAAAGACAATTTAGTAAGACCAAATGCAGCAGCTAAATTGAAAGCAGGGGAGGATTCTCAGTTAATTAGTAAAATTATGGAAAATTAAATCATAGTGTAAATTTCTTTCCTTCCTTTCTTCTTGTTTTTAATCACTACTAATGACTGGTAACACTATTAAGAGAAAGGTTAATGCGAAATTTTATGCTGGATAAATCAGGCTCACAACTGATTGATCCCTAAGTGTGGGACAGTCAAATATTTTGTGCCTTCTGATGTGTTACAATGGAGGAGCGGTGAATTATTTAACATGGCTCTTCAAGCCAAAGTCTGCAACTCTTTTGAAACAACATTTTCCTGCACAGGTCTGGTAAGGTGGGGAAGCTACTGACAGGCTCACCACTGAGCAACTGAGAACAGGATTTCCTGGGGAGGCATCCTGCTGTGTATGAGAAGCAGGAGGAGGGATCTCATGGCCAGAAAGAAGCCAGAGCGAAGAGGAGCATCCTCGGGACCCAAGATGTGTGCACAGGGAACTTCCTGGATACCAGCAGAGGAGCAGCAGCAGAACCAGGCAGGAACCAGAGCACAGAACCCAAGTAAAGCTGAGTGCTTTTCTTCAGAGGCTTGCTTGTGGAGTGGACTGTCTGGGTACTTACCACAATTGGGAAGTTGGACCTCTGGATTCACACAAGGGGAGCAGAGTGCCTTTGGGCTGAGGCTTCCTGGGGTGGGAAGCCTCTGAAACTTAATTCAGGGAGCGGGGTTTGGTGACCCATGAGCTTGAGCGGAATGATTTTGGACTGAGGCTTACTGAAGTGTGGTATGCCACTTTGGACATTTATTAGCAGACCTGCAACTTTATAGCATGTCCCGATAACCCGCCCTGAGTATTTCTCACTGGCATTACAATTTGTTAGTTTTAAAAATAAACCTGTTAGTCATGAATTTTGCCTGTGAGCTGTGTATAGTCATTCCAATGGCTATTAGAACCCAAAGAAGTACAATAGACCATTAAGAGACTACATACAATATGAAGTACATATTATAAAGTATTTTTACTAAAATGCAAATGACACAACTGAATCCAATCAAGTTTCTAGATCTAATTATCAGTTTATAGGAAACATTTGGGAGAAACCAAACCAAATTTGTGGCCATCAAATTGATTTTGATTCACAGAGCAGAGAAGAACTGCCCCGAGGCTTTCCAGGGACGAACATCTTTACAGAAGCCACGTGCTCCATCTTTCCCAGAGTAGGTTAGCACTGAAGTTGGCAACGGAGCGCTTAACCACTGTACCACCCTGGCTCCTCTTCAGACACACTAATTGGCACTATGACAGTTGGTAATTGCCGTTAAGTTGGTTATGACTCAGTGATTCAATTATAACCGAACAAACTTTCACCCCCATCCTTCACCATCTTCATGACTGCCAACCTGAGTTTACCATTTCAGTTATTTTGTCAATCCATTTTACTGAGGACTCCCTCCATTTTGTTGGCCTTTACTTTACCCAAAATGTTGTCTTTCCCAGGAATAGGTTTTTTCTGACGGTGTGTTCAAAGTCAAAGGGTTGACGCCTCCCTCATTTCTAAAGAACATTCTGATCATAGGACTATCCCTTCAAGACTCTGGTAAA